CTTAAAGCAGCAACAACGCTACACATAAAAACTGATGATGGTGGAAAAATACACCGAAACGTATTTTGATTGATAAATAGAGACAATAAATGACTTTTTTGCAGACAAAAATGCATGCCAAGGCTTAAAGCAGCAACATCGCTACACATAAAAACTGATGATGGTGGAAAAATACACCGAAACGTATTTCAATTGATAAATAGACAATAAATGACTGAAGCCCGGGAATTGATTTTGATTTGGAGTTAAAGTTAAAGCCCTCATTTGTTCATCTGCTACATTCGCCCAAAACCAGTTTACTCACTGTGTTTCCCGCAAAACTGTGGACAAATCACTCAAAACCATGCCAGCCAAATAATGGTGTTGCCTGTACTCAGCAGACAATTCCGCAAAAGGATTCACTCGCTCCTGGCTAGGAGGCGCGCCCGACAGGAACGAGTTCTGGCTAGTTGAGCTGGTCACACTGGGGCTGGGAGAAACGGCCGCCCCCGACGACATAAACGGCGACGAAAAGGGCAGATTCAACGCCACGTAGTGCTCGTGACTGCATAGAATCCGGGCGAACTCCAGCTTGAGCTCGACCAGAACACTGCTGTCCGGATGGCTGGCGATTCTCGCCTGGATGTACTTGCCGTAGGCGCGCAGCAGCTGCAACACCCAGCCCCTATCGGCGATTGACAGCAGGTCGAAGAAAAAGAACGCCAAGGCGGCGTTCAGCTTGTGCGCCTTCCTGGTCTCCCCTGCCGAGTGTGCAACAATCTCCGAAGCCACGTACTGCACCAACGAAGCAACATCGTCGAGAAACTGATCGGGAAACCGCATTTTCCTGGGAGCATCCAGACTGCGGGAGTGCGCCAGATGTTCCACCATGCTCTTGATCATCAGCTCGAACAAAAACCAGGCGTTTTGCATGGCCAGGTCCTTGTTGCGCCCACTGGTTATCGTCCACTGATACGCCAGCTCTTGATGCACTATCCTGGGACAGGAGTAGTTGGCCAGAGTGGGGCTCACTGCGTCGTTTGGCGGGACTCGCATACTGGCCGCCCGATCCAGCCCTCTTGGCTGATAATGGGACACCTCCAGGTCCGGGTTCGAGTTGCTGCGCACTAGCAGGGAGCCGCTGTCCCACAAGGGGGCCCCCCGAGCCCCATTGGACACCGGGTGCGGCAAATTACACTGATAGTGGACGTACGTGGCGAGCAGCGAGTTGCGTCCATGCTGGTCGCTGGGCAGCTCTTGAATGTTCTAAAACCGCAAAATCACCCACAGCTCCTGTTTTCCTTCTCCGCGTTTTCTCACTCACCGAAACATTCTCCAATAGCAGACAGAGAGTCTCGAAACAGGTAGACCCTACGTTGATCATGTGGCCAGAAACTCTGGGCGGCTGCACCAGCAGCTCCACAATGTTGTCGAAGATCTGCGGCAGATGCTTGACTATGGCTTCCGGCCGCGCCCCAGCCAGCCCCAACATCGCAGTCCTACGGGTGGACTTTAGTGGACTGAACTCCTTTATATTAGATCAACTCACGTCAACTCCTTTTCCGAGCCAACCTCCCCCAAACGCGTCGGAATGATGCCGGAATGAATGTAGTCGTAGGCGGCGAAGAAGCGCTCGATGGGCGGATCGTGGGTGTGCACTGAAGAGGCCGTATCGAGAATAACGCTGAAAAGCCCCTTGTGGCCGTCCAGCCACTTCATGCCGGGCAGGAAAACATCTGGTGGGATGTAGCTGTAGTTTCGAGGCGGCGGCTCCAACATCACTGGCAGGCAAAACTCCCCCGAGACCAGACGACCATCGCGCAACAACGGCAACCACTACAAGACCAAAAACATCACTAAAAACTCGGCAAATTCATGCCCCAGCCGCTTACCGTATATCCTACGGGGGACTCGACCACATTCTGCTCGGCCTTCTTCTGACAGGAAATGTGGTAGAACGTGAACAGTAGATGGTGATTGTCGGCCAACGAAGCGGGCAGCTTGATCTTGATTTCGTCGTAGAAAACGGGCGTTTTGCTATGGTAGGTGACCGAAGAAAACACTTCGCTGGCCATCTCAGGGCAGCTGGATTTGCCGAAAATGCTCGGCAGGCAGTGCGTCTCGCTTTCCCCGGCCATTAGCTGCACTTTTACTGCCAGGTTCCGAGCTGAGCCAGTGCGGTTGGAAAAGTTCAGCTCGCGCGGACTGACAAAGAGCAAGTTGCGATAGGTATAGTGCGGCACCAAGATCTCTTTAACCGGAAACTCCAACAGCTCCTTAGTGGGGCGGCTTTTGTCATCCGGATACGGGTGGAACTTGGCCAGTTCGGTAGTCAATGAGTTTTTGTACTCAGCAGGACAGGGCGAGATTTCCAACTTGAAGGTGGCTGGAATACATTTCAACTTCTTCAGCACCAAAGTGGGCCGTTTCAGTTCCTGCAGGCACTTGTACAGGTCCTCGTCGCGCAGCTTGTCGCCCTCTTGCTTAAAAAATGAACTCATCGTCAGAGTTATCGGTCGAAACGTGTCCAGATTAGTAGCCAAATGGTCTGGCGACCACGATCTGCACTTATCCTTGCGGTCCAGCGAACCTCTCCTCGTCAAGGTGCTCATATCGGAGGCTTTGCGCCGAAGCTGCTCTAAACCACTCCCGGAGGATTTGCGATCTGAAACATCCACAACTGTCCCGTAAAAACATCACTATCCTCCATTGCTCTCACCTAAGCTGTTGGTGTTCGAGCCAGAGCCTGTGGACTCGCGGTCAAAGTCTCTTTCCAGAGAATTTCCCCCATTTATCACACTGATCAGGTTGATTGCCGTCCAAGCGAACGCCTGCCGGTACTTTCCGAGCCGCTCACAGACGGACACAGCAATCGACTTCAGTTTGTCGCGGTTCTACAATAAAACGTTTAAAATAAACGAATACTTTTGACCGTAGTTAGCCACTGAACCTTTTCATCTTTCAAGTAGGGTTCCACGCATTCGTTGACGTCGCCTTGCAGAACCTTTTCCACGCGCACCACGATGAACAGATCGGGCGACGGATGCGAGATGTTGAAGATGCAACTGCGCGCCAGCGTGCTGGAATCGGCATAAGGCACGTGTCCGCCCAGCATTCTCTTCAGCCCCTCAGTGTTCATATCAAAGTAGAACGTCTCCGACACCTTCTTGCGCTCCTTGGAGTCGTACAGAGCCATGGAGGCGAACAGCGGCTCCACTTCGATGTCCATCCTGTTTCAATTCGTTGACTTAAACCAGTTAAGGACGTACATGTTCCAACTTACGTCAGCTGAAGGCACTTGACGAGAACGCGATGGCCCACATGCTCATAAGGGGCGGCGGCTACCAGGCGTTTCTCCACAGGCTCCTGCACGTCGATCTGGAGATCGTGTGGGGCGAGGGCAAAGAGCGCCTCCTGGCGCTCGATCTGCCTCTGACTCTCGTTCACCTGATCCTGCGACTCCAAGATCGACTGTTCCAGGATTTCTGGAATAAGGGCATCGCCAGCAGAGTGGCGCAGATCCAGGGAGGCCCATGAGTTGCGGGGCGTGATGGTGTCGCCGCACGAGGACAACGAACCGATTGAAACGATGCTTTGACGACTGCTGCTTCCCTGAGAAGCCACATCTGAAACAGCAAGTAAATTTTAATCATTTATTTAAATCAAACGGAAGTGCTTGTACCTAATTCACTGTTGGTCTCCGATGTGACTTGAAAGTCGACTTCAAACTCCTGCTTCGGGCTGGGCTGCAGACTTTTGGCCAAATTCGAGCGGCTGGAGCTGCTGCCGCTCAGCTGCCGGTGATTGTAGCGCACCACCTTCCAAACCGACTTGTAGCAATCCACGCAAGCCTGCACGTGCGGCGACAAGCTGTCACTGAACAAGAAGGCTCTTTATTCAATTTCTACACCCTCCGTTTCATTAATTTTACAGTTTTTCCTCGGGAAGAATGGGCCGCAGCGTCCTCAAAGGGCGCTCGATGACGTCGACTTGTACGTCGCCAAGGGGCACATCCAGGATGCATCGCAAGGGATCACGATCCAGAACCTGCTGATAAGCGCCGACAAACTCCTCAAAGTCCAATGGTTCAACGATTTCTTGCGCCCAGCTCTACGTACGGAGAGAACGTTATTAAGCGCCCTAATTTTACAAAACTTAGCATCAAAGGCGACTTACTGAACTGGTAGTTGGCGAAATCAGGCCGCTTTTGCTGGATACGGTCCTTCGCACGTCTGCAGCATGATGCCTGGAAAGAAACTCTGTGAAACTGCGATGAACGTATTTTCACCTGGCAATTACTTGGGGAGTTTCTGAGTGAAAGCCCGCTGAGTGGTCGCCATCACCCCATAAGACCAGCTAATGAACACTCACTAAGAAATTAGGGCGATGTTTTATTTATCTCAGTAATATCTATTTTCTACTTATCAACATCAACAAACTCAGCTCGGCTGTCAGATAATTTCGATGTAGACACAGGGACCGTAGAACCACTGCCGTACGAGTTGAGAGGATCGACAGATTGATTTGGGCGCGAGCAGGACAAACGATGACCCCTCATGTTTCGCAACGTCAAGCGCTATTAAGGGCGCATTTACAGGCTGCAGTCGCAGCCACAGAGCTGTGATTCATAAAGAGAAACCTCTGTGATTTACTGGAATTATAGAGATAAAGTACTTACTGGAATTATAGAGATAATGCTTGCGCAACCTAACTAGTTGCTGGAAACGCGTGTTGAAAATACTATTTTTCAATTTCCGACCTTACTCCTAGATCAGAATCAGCTCAACCTAACCGCAAAAACAGCCAGCCAGCCAGCCATAACCAAATAGTTTGGAAATGTGTGGCCATAACCTCGACTTATGTGTACAATGAATCGCTGCGTTTATAGTGAGTTTTTGTTGTAAACGAGCCCACAGTGTTAATGCAAAAAGAATAAGTGACTCCCGCTGACAATGTCGGAGGAGCGTCTGGTTACCGAGGTGCCCAGTAGCCTAAAGCAACTAGCCCGATTGGTGGTTCGCGGTTTTTACACAATCGAAGACGCCCTCATTGTCGACATGCTGGTGCGAAACCCGTGCATGAAAGAGGACGATATTTGCGAACTGCTGAAGTTCGAGCGAAAAATGTTGCGTGCCCGCATCGCCATCCTGAAGAACGACAAATTCCTTCAGGTGCGACTGAGGATGGAGACGGGCGCTGACGGCAAGGCCCAGAAGATCAACTACTACTTCATCAACTACAAGAGTTTCGTCAACGTGGTGAAGTACAAGCTGGATCTGATGAGAAAACGCCTGGAAACGGAAGAACGCGACGCCACTAGTCGAGCCAGCTTCAAATGTTTAGCTTGCCTGAAAACGTTCACCGACCTCGAAGCTGACCAGCTATTCGACTTCATGTCGGGCGAGTTCAGGTGCACATACTGCCGTGAGGTGGTCGAAGAAGACTCGTCCGCCTTGCCGAAAAAGGACTCACGCCTGTTACTAGCGAAATTCAACGAGCAGCTGGACCCACTCTACATTTTGCTCAGGCAAGTGGAGGGCATCAAGCTGGCCCCAGAAGTGCTCGAGCCCGAACCAGTGGACATCAGCACCATCCGGGGCTTGGACAAAAAGAGCGCAATGCAGTCCGGCCAGGAATGGTCAGGCGAAGCGACCAGAAGCGCCGGATTCGCCGTGGAGGAAACCCGAGTGGACATCACCATTGGGGACGACTCCAGCGCAACAGCCACCACTGCGCACAAAGAGGCCCCGATCTGGATGACCGAGTCCACAGTCATTACCAGTGCGGCTCCAGACGACTCAAAGAACGGCGCGGATCAGAAGGAGACGCTCACCAGTCCGAGCACAAAGAACGACGACATTATGAGCGTGTTGCTGGCGCATGAGAAGCGACCAACCAACCAAACATCCAGCGCAGTTAAAGGTTTGGGGACCAACGACTCAGATTCGGACTCAGACGACTCCAACGAGGAAAAGGTCGGCTTGGAGGACGTCGAAACAATGGAGAGCGAGGATGAAGACGACAGCACTGTACCCCAAGTCAATGTGGGCAATAAGACCTACTTGATTACCGCAATTAATGACGGCATAATCAGCGAAATGACTCAGGCAGAGAAGGAAATTTATGTGCAAGTGTTCCAGGATTATTACTCTCACATGAACTACTGATTCCGAAGTGGCTCAGCTTAGTGCTAATTGGCAACTTTACCGAATTAACAAATCAAAATATTTTTAATTAAATATGTACGGTTTAATTTCGTTAACTATCAAGGGATTTCTATTATCAAAAGCATTATCTGGGATATGAGAAAATCGTTTGTTTGGGTCCTTCCAGGATTGTACAAGAGACTCCCAATATTCTGCACTGTTACCCAGCGCATTTCTATACACTAGATACGACCAGAATAGTATAAGTGGATATTTATAATTCATTGTATATACTTTCCTGACTGTGTTCCAATTCCAAATCAAAATTAATTCCTGGGTATCAGTCATTTATTGTCTTTATTTATCAATTAAAATACGTTTCGGTGTATTTTTCCACCATCATCAGTTTTTACGTGTAGCGTTGTTGCTGCTTTAAGCCTTGGCATGCATGTTTTGCCGAGCAAGACTGATGATGGTGGAAAAATACACCGAAACGTATTTTAATTGATAAATAAAGACAATAAATGACTGAAACCCAGGAATCAATTTTGATTCGATATTTATAATAACCTGTTTTTATTCGGTTGTAAAATAAATTGTCTCCAACTGCATCTTTTGATTTGTGTATTTAAATATTTAATTTCGTCAAAACTTAACTATCGCAAAATGCGACTTGAAAACCATAGCAGTTCCATAGGCTAAACAAAGACTCTGTGACGGCTTTTTCTCTCACTTCAATACATGCAAGAAGGGCCCTGAATGATTATCAGTATGACTACAGCGGCAACATGCCATCCTCGTCCTCCTCCGTTAGTCGAACAAAGACAACGTCCGATTGACAGTCTCACTTCACTGCATCAATAGTATGTAGTCTGTGGCATCAACCCAAATATTTTCTATGTCAACGTCAAGTACTTGTAAGAAGAGTATCGTGTGCAAACGAAATCAAAACATTGTACAGCTGTGTGGACAACATCACTCATACTATACCATTGAATCTTTGATATTGTCGCTTTCCCATCAGAAAAACTCTGCACATTTCCGATCGTTCCTTTGGAACAGTTTCGACTCGCCAGTTTGCGCTACCTTAAAGGGGCCCAGTGTTTGTCGGGTGAGTGAGTGGGACTTATCAACAAACCACCAATTGGAACTTCAATTTGTGTTCGTTTCAGTTCCCATTTTATGGGTGCCCTAAATTCACGACGACTGATTATGTTAGATGAGGAGGAAGTGTCCTGGCTCGACCAAAGTGAGGATACGTCCGAGTACTCCGAGTCCGACGAATCTGAGATTGATAGGGAAAATGAGCTTGTGCATGAACTACGCACACGTTCGAGGAATCGCGACTATGATGGCACCACACATTTTGTAGCAATGCTACACAATCTAATAAGCAGGTAAGGGAACGAAGGGCAAAAACGCTGAAATCCTACAAATAATTCCCTTTACAGAGGAGGTCTAATGATAGATAACAGCGACGACCACGACGAAGCTCCAATGAACAGAAAACCACCGAAAATCAAGTACAAAATTGATACATCAGCTTTGGATGTAAGTCACACTGTCTAAGAAGAAAATGTAATACTGGTGTGCTCCATTTTAGCATAGCGAATTTTCTCTGTTGACTCGCCGTGATTGCGGCCTGTTGGGGCATACTCCCAAAAGCACCACGGTAAACCATGTAATATCGCTGTTGAGAAGCCGGGAAGTATGTGACCGAATTGTAATCGAAAAACTTGCCGCTAACAGCTCGCTTGTTGTTTCAGTATGGGTTCCAAGAGCAGAGTAAATTCTCCGCTGGCACAAAAAACAAAATAACCAGCTGGTATCTGCCCAACGAAATGGTTTCGTCCATTGAGCACTCCACAGGGAAGGTGTTTTGTGGGATTTTTTCTGCTGATGGCAACACGTTCCTCACGGCCTCTCAAGGTAAAACCGTTCCCCAAGAGGTTGCTCTACTATTTTCCTTGCCACTTGCAAACCTGTCGTATGTTTCAGATCGCTACATTCGTATCTACGATTCGAGAGACTGTACATATAAGATGTTGAAGTCCATTAAAGCTCGTGATGTGGGTTGGAGCTTGATCGACGTCGCATTCAGTCCAGATGGGGAACAATGTGTCTATTCGACATGGTCGACGAATAGTGAGTGAGGCTCCACCGCTCACTATACTAAGTGAACTGAAATCCCATCTTTTCTAGTTCACATGTGCCAGGTTTCCGGTGATTCCGACCGGCAAGAACCCTTCACTTTGACCAGCGCGAACAGGAGATTTTGCGTCTTTTCCGTTGTATATTCATCGGATGGAAAGGAGCTGGTCTGCGGCGCCAATAATGGGTGTTTATACACCTACGATATACAGCGGACAACGTGCACATCTAGAGTAAGTGCCGTTCAATGGGAAAAAAGTGTCTTAATTATAACTTTGCCGTAGATCGAAGCTCATGAATATGACACTAACCGGGTGCTTTTCGCCGATGATACATCGCAAATTATATACAGTGGCGGCGACGACGGGTTGGTTAAAGTGTGGGATCGGCGAACCCTTCGCGAAAGAAATGTAAAGCCGGTCGGTGTTTTGGCCGGTCATATGGACGGAATTACCTACATTGACTCACGGGGCGATGCCAGGCATTTGATCAGCAACAGCAAAGACCAGTCGATCAAACTATGGGACTTGCGGCTGTTCTCCAACAGGGACGCCGTAAGTGAATCGCTGAAAGCGGTACGAAGCCAACGATGGGACTACCGATGGCAGGGGGTTCCCAAAGAACGTAAGTCGCCAGCTACCCCCTCACTGTCTTTCTAAGAGAATGTATGATGGTTGATTTTCTTGGCAATTCGGTCGGGGCAGTGGTGAAGGAAAAGAAAACTTTTTCATCTACCAAGCTTTCGGCAATCAGGGGCAGTCTGTTGTCTATGAAATTAGAAAAATTATCGTCGTTTTGTGCAAGGGTGACGCAAGATTATTGCAAAATTT